AAATGGAAGTAATCCCAACAATTATGAAACAATAGATTCCTCGAAACCCAACTTTTCTTCGTATATTGTTAGCTTGAATTTGGTTGTGACGATGATACCTTGCTCTGATGATGTTCGTCACATGATGGACGAATGCTTAGCACCTTTTCACCGGAATCGAAGGAGTTCCCCTCGGCAACAACGTCAGTAAGAATTTTCCAGTAAGGTCAATCGACAACTGGTCAAGAGGAATTCGCCGTCGTCTTCTGGTGGAACCGACCTTTGAATCTCTTCACTCAACACTTTTCAACAATAAACGCCTAACAACCGGAATAATAGGCCAATTTTGTGGGTTATCATCATCAGCCCTCGTTGGCCCCACAAAGGGGAGAAGGCAAAAGACATGGAGGGAAAGTATAACTTGTAGTCTACACCTTATGACAGATCAAGATGGTATATACAAAGAAAATGCGGGTTTCGAAGACTATCACAAGCTAAGATTGTAGTGAAGGCGTGCATTTCGTGTCAAAATGTACGATGGAGAGATGTTTTAGGTCAATTTCACCAAAAGACGTCAGCTGATTCCCGATGTCCGGTGGGCTGCGGTAAACTGAAGACCCGATTAAAGCCAAACGGTTGCAGTACAACGTGAATCCGCCGGTGTCTTCTGGTGAGATCGAACTACCAACCCTTGCATGAAAGTCTTCACAACCAAGACCTGTGAGTGTGTGTACTTTGGCCAAGATGGTCGTTGCCTGGTGCCAAAGCAGACCGCCTTCAGAGTGGTCGAAAGATGGGCAGACGACAGCCAAAAAGATGAGTAAGTTGAGTAGTTGCAATTGCCTACCATCTTTTGGATCCGGTATCTTCTCGGCAATGTGTCGGCAAGTTCTCGCCGGTAGATCTTTGGAGCCGGCCGGACTGTTGATCGTCCCGTCGTTTTGGAAGCAGCCTTTGGTGGGGCCACTGGAGCCAAGCATTCTTGGACAGGCGATGGCGGGCGGCCCCGGTGGTCCTGGGGGTCCTCTGTTGCCGGAGGGCCCTTTGGGCCCTCTCGGCCCGTCGGGTCCGGGTTGTCCCGGAGGTCCCATGACGCCGATTGGTCCCGGATTCCCGATCTCTCCCGAAGGGCCCTGCATTCCTTTGGCTCCGCGGGGTCCGGCCTCGCCGGACGGCCCCTCGAAGCCGCGCTGGCCCGCCTGTCCGGAGCTGCCCGGAGGACCCGGGGGACCCGGCTCGCCTTGATCCCCCATCCAGCCGATGTGGCCCGTCGGGCCTCGGTGTCCCGGACGCCCCGGCGAGCCGTCACGGCCTCTCCGACCGGCCTGGCCAGACTGACCCTTCTCACCGGCCAGTCCCGGCTTCCCGGGCTCGCCGATGTCGCCGATGTCGCCGCGCGGACCTGCCGGTCCGTCCTGTCCCGGCAACCCCATTTGGCCCCGCTCGCCGTCAGGACCTTTGGGCCCTGTCTCCCCTTGCGGCCCCTGGGGGCCGCGCTCGCCCTGTGGGCCAATACCGCCGCGGGGACCCTCTTGGCCGTCAGGACCCGTCTTGCCTACGTCGCCGTCGGGTCCGATGGCTCCAGGCAATCCTATTGGTCCTGGAGGACCTTGAAGACCCTCTTTCCCGGGCGGGCCTGGTTTGCCCTGAGTCCCGAACATGCCGAGCGGGCCCGGAGGACCGAGTTGACCCGGGCGACCGGGGGCTCCGATTTTCCCCTACAAATCGGTGCACAAAAATGCCAAAATGGACAATTGGGGAATTTGTGAATGGAGTAACGAATCTTTGTGTCGTTCGCTGATGAGTTATAACATTCGCACAAAATGTTAAAGTAAGCTTTTCAACCCAACCAGACATGTCAGATTACGAAAACCCAGTCTTGCCTTTCCTTGGGTGGTTAAACGTTAATGACCCTTGACCGAAAGGTTAGGACAAGTGGTTTCCTAACTTGATTATCATGCTTACAATCTCATATTTCATTATCTTAACCATACTTATTTACGGACCTAGGCAG